GTAAATATTATAAAGGTGTGTATGTTTTTTTTTTTTAAATCTGTGGGAATATCTCTTTAGAAAACTATGGCTCCAGTACGGAGCTGCTAATATGGAAATATCTTGAATGTTTAGGGCTTTTTTGTCCCCAAATGTTGTTTAGAGTTGGAAGTTACAGCTATAGCTAGTAGTCCTGCATGATTGCATGAGATGTCTAATTGCAAATAAACTTGTTTGGAGTCCATACAAACATGTTTTCCTCAATCTAGACTTAAAATGTTTGTAAGTGTATTATAATACATTTTGAGAGTACACTTTTGTCATTTAGGCACAGGCGTTTTTAGTGCATTCTATAAAAGTAGCAGTAAGATGTAGTGGTTTTTTTACTGAGAATAGAAAAACAAATTCTATCTAGTTTTTGCATTATGGGGGCAATGCTTTAGATCTTTAATCAGCTTTTTTAAAAATCTGCTGTTGCATCAGATCAAGAAATTTGTGCTGGAACTTCATTTAACACCAAAAGGTTTTACTGCAAACTTGTGTTCCTACAGCCTATTAATTGCTTAAAAAGTGAAAACAGTTCTCTGCTTGCAACCAAAGGGCAAACCATTAACAAAAACAGTTGCTGTTTCCTTCGTCCAAAGAGTATTAATACCGAACTGCAGAAAGGTGCAAGGGCAAAGTCATTACGATCAGTGATGTAAATTCATCTTAAAATGAACTTAAGTAGACCAAAAATCTGATAACTGCTTCAAGATTATTTTTCTAGTACAAAATGACTTTCATTTCACTGCAGCTATGTTACAGTTAAAATCCTGTTTAATCTCTGTGATGTGTAACTACTACATGTGAACATTAAACTAGATTTACCTGTCTTTAACTGTGATTCTTCAGCTTATTTCTTCAATCCTCTGAATTTGTGCATTCTCTTCACTTTTTTTGTACATGCCATTTGATGGGCGAATTCATTTTACAGCAGGCTTTTGTACAACCAAGTCTTAAAGACTGTAAACTCGCATCCAGGCTCAGTGAAAGGTGCTCATCTTGTGTGATCAGTAGCCTGTGCACTAGTGAAACGGGATTTTCAGAGTGGGGGAATTAAGTAGGATTTAATTGGGTGCTTTGTAAATAGCTAGCCAACTGTGTGTGTGACATGGTCTGTTTGACTAAAAAAAGAGAGGATTTGTTTCAGATTATGCAAGTGTCAAAAGTACTATAACCCAAGGGATGACTTCTACGAAGTTAAATATTTATAAGGAAATTAACTACTGGGGTCATTAGCTATTGACTACAGCGATAATGTCAACAAGATGAACATTTTATTAATCAAAATAATTGTGTAAAGATCAAATCAAAAAGTGGCTAACACATCTGCAAACCATAAAGCCTCCTGCCACTGCAAATGCGTTGAAGGCAGGGGCATTTCACAGGCTGAGCCCTGACTTGCGGGATGGGGAGTGGGGTCCCTGTGTTGTTTTCCCTCAGCTCGGATGTTATAGTAGTAGCAGTTTAACCAGCAAAATACATGTTCTTGTAAAATTAAGTCGTGAACCTCTCATCCTGCATCTCCAGCTAATTCGATGACAGTAAGAATGCTATCAGTAGGATTTTTTTACTGCAGTTTGGGAATTGTTACGGTGTTTAAAAAAAGAAAAGCAACATTTTTTCAAAGGAATAGTTTAAATTTACATTCGTTTTCTTTGTTTATCCTATTAATATTTGTAGTCTCAAGCTTACTTTAGGTTGTATAGCTCAGCTTATTTTGTATACAGCTTTTCAGTAACATTAGTTCTCAATACCCTCATTTGCGTCTATCCACTGTTGCCAAATCACAGTATTCTGTTACACAGCAGAGGAAGCGAGCAAAAGGTGCTGTCTTAAAATATGAAACTAGCTTGCAGAATTTCTACATATCAAAGCTGGTGTATCCTGGGCGAGCTGATAAATCGCTGAACTACTCTTCAAGGGAGAGCGTATCAAATCCCGCATTGTTTCGGGTCGGGGCAATCTCCCATTGAGTTTAGCGGCTTGAGGATTTGGTTTTGTTTTTTAAAAAACTGTTGCGGTGCAACAAGTTGGGGCCTTTAGAAAATGAAGTCTTATTAAAGAGCTGTGAAAATTCTTCCTCTTATGCAGTATTCTTGAGAAATGTGAAAGCCTGCATATAACACTCAAAAAAGCTCTATCAGAGCCTAGTAGCTGCTGGTCTTGATTTATTCCTTATGCTATGTATGAAACTGTAAGCAAGGAATACCTAATCGCTCGCTTCCTAATGGCTGGAATCAGTACAGTCCTAAACACAGCCGTACTTACTTTTGTTTGTCGAAGATTTCAGAGTCTTTCATCGTATTTTAATCCCATATCTTGTTTAAATCATGTTTTCCATATAACAAAATGCGTGAACATTTGAACAAAGGCAAATTAAAAGGACTTTTTCCTCTAATGCCTTGGATTTTCTCTTAGTCACAAAAGCATTCCTTAAAAGGAGCTTTTTGATTGCGTGATGAGAGTTGTGGTGAGGCTGCCAGATTAGGAATTAGGATACCAAATTCTGTTCCCAGCTCTGCTACTGAGGCTCTTTTGTGACCTTGAGCAAGTCACCGGCTGTCAATCAAACTTGCAGTTTTCCATTCATAATGTACCAGTGGCAACATGTTCTCATCTTTATAGAAGCAGGGAGATGAAGCAGGCAAAACGCGTTCGTGTTTTTTACTTCATCTTTGTTAGGGGGATTATGGTTTGGGTAAGAAAGGAAGCGAAGGGAAAGCTGGGGTGATTATCAGGAAAGCCTTCCTAAGGAGGAGCCGATTCGGAAACACATTGCTAGTAGAGGCTGCAAGGACTCTCTTGCTTGGGCTGCTGAAATTGTAAAGGACTAGAAAGTGGTCTCGAGGAGGAATAGATGAGCGATCTAGGTGTTTTCCGTCCCCAGCTCGTATGCTGTCTGCAGAGCGCAGCGATGGATACTGCTAATGCTGCATGTTCGTTTTGGTGAGCGGCGGTGCGGAGGTCCCAGTCCTTGCAGATGCTGAGACTCCCCTCTGAAATTTCCAAACGATAGGAGGTGTTCATTCCACGTAAAAGCCAAATGCCAGCTCTTGCAGCGATAGCTACATTTTCCCTGCTGTTTCACGTGGGAATGGTATTTATTTTCACTTTCTAAACCATGCAGTGTTGCTTTTAAGCAGTTCTTGTGTTTTCAGCCACAAGCAAAGCGGTCATAAGGAATGCCATAGCTGTCCTGCTGGTTGTTCTGAGAGTTAATGAATAAACCATGTATAGGATAAACAGGTTTATGCAAATGCAGAGCAGCACTTTACCATTATTTGTATTTTCAGTGCTTTTGTAGCTGTAGAAGTCACATTTTTGTAAAACCTTTGCAGTTGGAAAGAAGAAACCACAGTAGAAGCTATTCAAGTAATTGTTCTAGATGCAACGCAATTTACTGGCTTCTCCAATAGTAAGGCTTGCAATACTAAATAGCGTGCTTCCAAAACAGTATTGAAAATGTTTTGCTCTCCAGTCCCAGAACATGTGATCTGAAAACACAGGCTAAATATATTCCCCCCGTACAACTGCTTGCTCTCTTGCATTAGAAAATCCATCCTTTACTCTTATTCCTGCATAAGAGAAAACTTGCATGCTCTGCCTACCAGGAGAGCCTGCTTTCCCAAACGCCCAAAGCAGGCCTGCACGCAGCAGCCCTCGGAGCACATCTGAGTTGAGCTGGGGACCGGGTGCCCCGGGGCTCCGCAGCGCTCGGGAGCTCGACTGCAGGCAGCTGCCGGCTGAGCGCCAGCATCACATGGGCCAGAGCCGGTCCCTCAGCCACCATGTCCTGGCCATGCCTCCTTGACAAAAAACCTTTTCCCCTTCACGGCCTGGTAAAAAAATTCACAGGGGCCAGGCTACGGTGTAGACTGCCGTGCGATCACAGCAACGTGGACAGGAGTGGGGATTTTCTAAGTTGGCATCCCTCCTCCTCAGCAAAACATCTGCCGGGAAAGCGCCGTGTCACCCACAGAGCACTGGGGAAGGAGCGGTGCCAACCCTGCCGAGTGCTGCGCTCAGGCACAAGCACAAAGCTGAAGTCATTGGAAAGATGCTGGTGAGCGATGGGCCCGGCTGCCGGGCGCCCTAAGTATTGCAAGGCAATGTTTCCCCCCTGTTTTGCCCCTCTTGAAGGTACGTGAGGGGAGGCAAGACCATTTGCAACCAGCGCTTGGCTGCGCTGACGCAGTTGAGGACTTGTAAGAAGAGCCATAAAAAGCACCTCCCCGTACACCAAGGTGGAAACAGTGCTGGTGGGCTGTGGTACCCCGGCTGTCCCCCACCACCATCAGAGGGACATGGGCGGGGAAAGCAGAGCACTCTTCTGGCAGCTTATTTCAAAGTAGAGGACATGGCAGTGGCTGGAACGAATTAGTCCCCATTTGTCATTTCTTGGCCTGTAGGGAGAAGAGCTGGCGCCCAGGACTTTGGCACACAGAGACACGAGCAGCCCCTCCGCAAGAGCCCTGGGCGTGCAGCCCTCCCCGCGCGAAGTGCGACCGATGGCAGAGCTGAGCGGGACGCGGGGCAGGGCAGCTCGGGCTTTTCTTCCTTTGATGGGCATGGAACACACTTTGACATGGTACGAGGGTTGGTTTTTATTTTCTTCCCCCTTTTTTTTTCCCTTTTCTGTCTTAACCTTCTTTTAGCCTTGGGTTTGCTTGCCTTTTTTTTTTTTTAAAGATAATGTGTTTATCAACTGACAGGATACACTCGTTTCTGGTAAAAGAAGCACTTTGACAATTTTCACAACATGTATAATTTACTTAAGGACCATAATGGCTTCTTCTGAGCCGTGTGTCATGTAAATAAATATTCCAATGATTTTTAACATGCACATTATGTACTCCATAGATCAATGGCTCCTTTGAAGCTGTTACAGTTTATCCTGTAAGTTCCTATTCAGACATTTTTTAATATGTATTATTTATTCAACAGGCTATCGCTTCATTCAGAGATGACGGTGTCTATATTTGTAGCAGGCTAACATCTATACCTTGTTTAGAATATTTCAAAACTAATATTGCTCAGCCTTTTCAGCAGGTTGGAAAGATCTCCGTGAAAATGTGGAAACAGGAAAGAATAGTTCAAATGCGTGAGAGTGTAACACACATCCATTTCGGATCTGGTTTTTAAGACTCCTTCCTCTGCTCCCCTCTACCTTCTCCACCAGCCCTGGAAACACACACGTCCAGAAACTGGTTATGTGTGTGGGCTGCAGTGCACGTAACGAATCCTCGGGGGGGTTTGGGAGAGCAGCAGTGCCTGGCCTCAGAGGGGCAGGAGGACAGGGTGCCACGGGCCAAGCATTTCCCTTTGACTTCTGCTGTGGCCGCCCAGAGGCTGGGGGATCCCTGCAGGAGCATCGCAGTGCTGGGAGAGCAATGGTGCAAAACGACATTGCCTTCTCCGGCTTTAACGAGGAAGCAGTTTCTTGGTCCATGTACAGGACAGGCTCAGCAGGTAAGTAGGAGCAGCACTAGTTTGTGAGCTGCCCCAGGGCTTCAAGTGCCAGCAGGGGTTTTTGGGGGTTTGGGGTTTTTTTTGGGTGCAGCTCTGGGGGCTCCATGCCAGGCAGCGAGCGCAGCCGGGGGCAGGTGTGAAGGTGCAGGACACATGGAAATGAAGGCATGCACACAGATGACTTCATGCCTCTGCAGCTATTAGTCAGGGAAAATCCTTTCCTATTCTCAGAGGGTGGGGGAGCAGGCAAGAGTTATATCCCCACCTCAACAGAAAGCTGCAAGGGGAACTCGGCAGAGCTCCCAGGCCCTTGCAGGAGTAGCCCACGAGATAAGAGGGCCTGTGACCTCAGTGCAGGCTAATGAAGGAGGAGAACCTGGGCCGAGAAAGATAAAGTTCCTATTTAAATGCAGACGTCTGCAACAATAGAGGTGGAAACATAAAAAAATTGCTATCAAAGTAATTTGCTTGTAGTATGAAGGCTTTTGTCTCACCTTGTTTAAACAGCCCCACTCCTGTGTTTAGTTTACTTGTGTTAATACCCCCCAGAGGCTTCATCATTTGCTATTGATGAGCATACAAAAAAAAAAAAAAAAAAAAAGGGGGAAAATGTTGCTGTCAATTCAATTA